CATTGGGAATATCTGCTCTCATGGACTTCTCCAGAGTGCTGAAAAGCATTGATGTCAGTGTAGAGACAAGCCTAACTCTGGCCATGGTCTTCTCAATAACTTGTTATGCTTAAGAGAGTTGGAAAATGACTAAGTATAACAGAAGATGAATAGATACCTTTGAGTTGTGGTGCTGGAGAAGAGTCTTGAACATACCATTGACTGCCAAGAAAACAAACAGATCTATCTTGAAGAGGGTGAAACCAAGTTTCTCCTTGGAGGTTAGGATTTTGAAGCTCCATCTCACATACTTTGGGCATATGGCCAGGAATGAATGGTCCTTGGAGAAGGACATTGTGACCAGAAGGGCTCTACCCTCCAGGACAGGGCAGGAGAGGAAGACCCCAGATGAGATGGATTGATACAGTAACTGGGGCAATGGGGGTTGGTGTGTCGGAATTAGTGAGACTAGCTCGAGACAGGAAAGGGTTCAGAGCTGCTGTACACAGGGTCGCTATACGTTGTAGGAGACTCAATGGCACATAACCCCATAATATATTGTTTTTTTTTTTAATTTAAGCCTCTTATTAAGAGTTAACAAGACTTTGGGGAGGGCCTTTATATATAAAAGTTGGTTGTTAGTTGTTGCTTGGAATATACTTCTAGAAAATGAGAATTGAGGCTCAAATAGAAATGTGTACACCATTGTTCATGGCAGCATTATTTACCATGGCAAGAACATGGGAACAGAAAAAATGTCCAACCACAAACAAATGGACTGAAAAGCTGTACATTCATACAGTGAAATACTATGAAGCACACAGGAGCAATCATCTTATAAATCACTACCTAACTTGGGAGGGACTGGAGAACATTATGCTGAGTGAACTAACTCAGTCCTACAAGGACAAAAAAATTATTGTAGAATGAATATGAGGATCAAAGATGTCGGGGATAGTAGAAATAGAGGGGTGAGGATGGAGGGGGGTAGAGTCTTGATCATAGTGGGTTGCACAATTCAATGGGAGTGTAGGGTGAAGGAAATGGGAAGAATCTTTTGTGAAAAACAGTGTATTCTAACTTTATAAATAAATCAGAGTAATATAAAAAATTTAAAAAAATAAAAGTCTGTTGTTATTATTTTGGAAGAACATTTTTCTAAGTGGTACAGCACTCTTCTGTCAATATGCTGTACTGAGGTAACTTGTGATGGCTGTGATGCTGAACCTTGTGCCAGTGGGGTGTCAAATGCCATAGCAGTTACCCATGATGGACAGTGTTTGGTGGTGCTCCCAGATTAAGACAGGTTTGGAAGCAGGAGTGACATCCACTTCCTAAACAATATGCCTCTGAAAAGTCTATGAACTTTGATAAATTATGATAGTTATAGAAAGGTTTCAGGCCTTTTGTTCATAGGGTCACTATGAGTCGTGTTTGACTCAATGACAATCAACAACAACAACAACAGAAGCAGAATAGGCAAGGCATTTAAAAAAATCAATATCTAATAATGTTGTTAGGGAAAGCTATTCTTTGGAAAGATACATCATGCTTGGAAACATACAGAGTCAGAAAAGGAGAAGACCTTTACTGAGATGGACTGAAACAGTGTCTGTGGCAATGGATAGGACAGAGTTTTAATCTGCTATTCATAAGGTTGTTGGGAGTTGTACTTGACTCTATGGCAATTACCAATAAGTTCTGAAGTGCTTTGGCAGGCTTCACTGACAATTAAAATTCATTAGGCGGGAAAAAAACAAAAACAAAAGCAAATTCATTAAGCGATATTTAAACATTCAATAGTAAAAGGGGTTGATGCTCTTACTACTAATTGAACATATAAATTTTCCTTGTGTGTTGAATTAATGTTATATGCAATTTTTTAGTATTTTATTTACATTGCAAATTTAAGTGAAATATAAATGCATTGTGTATTCTGATTTTACTGACGTCAAGTTGGCTCTAATTCCTATTAGGCCTCCACTGACTCTCCAAAGCCCTAGGAGACTTTCTTCTGCGAAGTGGTTGGTTGATTCAAACCACTGACTTTTTGTTAGCAGTCTGAGGTTCTGTTAGGGACTACATCACTGCTCTCCCTTTCTACTCAAAACCTTTTCTACTCTGTCTTCTTACAAAGAGTTCTGAATAGAAAGATTAATTGGCTAGATCTTATTTAATCTTTAAAAATTTCAGTGTGAAGGATTTTAAGAGAATGAGAACCATTTTTTACTCCAAATCCCAAATAATGCACTTAATAATATTTAGATTTCACTTTTTTATGTCTCTATTAAATTTAGGCAGGAATTTGTTTATATTTTTGGTCATTCTCTTTCTAAGGGACTAAATGCTATCCTATTATATGTAATATTATGAACTACTAACACTAAATTAATGGAGCCCTGGTGGAACAGTGGTTAGAACTTGGCTGTTAACTGGAAAGTCAGCAGCTGAAATACGAGGCTTTTCCTCTCATAAAGATTTACTACTTTGAAACCTGGTGGAGGGTCATAATAAGTTGAAGTCAAATAGAGGCTGATTTTTTGTTTTATTATTATTTGTTTGTTGTCATACTAAATCAAAGGCACCATGGAAGTGTGGTGGATAAGTGCTTGGGTGCTAATTGAAAGATTAGTAGTTTACTCCCATAAAGATTAACAGTCTCAGAAACTCCACAGGGCAGTTCTAATCACCAGGATTAGAACTATTAGGATCACTATGAGTCAGAATTGACTGGTCAAGACTAAGTTTGGGTATATATTTGAAATTATTTTATTTAAAACTCAAAGATAAAGCCTGATTCTAAATGTTGGCTTAAAATATACATGAAGAAATCATAGATTGGCATGAGTAACAGAAACTGTATGAACAACCCCACAAAATATTCAAGCCATTGCACTCTTAAAGAATTAAAATTTTATTTCAGAAATTGAATTCGCAAATTTGACCTCACAAACCTTCAAATTGAGATAACAAATTTCAATGAATTTGGAAAACAAACAAACAAAAAAAAGTTAGGGTACCTTCAAGAAAAAATGTTTGCCTGTTTTTTGTTAAAGAGGCAGTTGTTCCTGTGTGTCTTTGAATCTGAACCAACTTATAGCTAACCCTCCAGTGGGTTTTCAGAGGCTGTAAATAACACCGGAGGAGATGGGCCATCTTCCTCTGATAAAGCAGCTGGTAGATTTGAACTGTTTGCCTTTGGGTTAGAAGCACAACTCTTTACCTGCTATACAAAGAGAGCTCAAAAAGAGGCAGTAGATGATAACACAATGGTATCATTGGCACAAGTTGCAGAGAACAACTTTAAATTATTGGACTCATTTAATTACTTAAGCTTTCTAATAAATTAATTTTACTTCTCTCTGAAGCCAGAGTCAGCTTCCCTTTTTTCCTCTTTTATTTATTTCTAATGCCAATAAATACTAAGATTCATCTAAATCTTAGATTCCATGATTATGTTAATATAAAGAGATTAACAGATGTGCCAAGCTTTGAAAAAAGTCTGTGGTGCCTGGAAAGAAATTTTATTTATTTTGATGAAATATTATGTGCACATCCTTAACCCCTTCACCTGTTTTTTCAGGTTAGTATCAATGAAAATTTGAAACGTTCAGGCACAGTTGTTTCAAAATTCCTAAGAAACTGTATGATTGTCTACATTTTCTCAGACAACCTATAATTCGACCTTCCCCTTTTTCATCTCAAGCCTCTAAAAGTGATTCACATTCATCACTTTTCTGTATCATTCTAGTAAAATAGAAAATGTTACGATACAGTCTGGAGGCTTATAATGAGAGTAATACTCTCAAAAAACAAGATAATTTTACTTAAAGCAAAAAATATATATTCTAGTCTTATAGGTGAGCATTCCACATTTTTAAAAATTAAAAATCATTTTTAAAAGCAGAGGTTTATAACATAACATAGCATAGCATAACATAACATAACAACATGTGATTGTAAACAGTCACAGAAACATCTAACTTTTAGAAAGCAGATTTCTATCCTCTTTCCTTACAATATTGTTTTTAACAATCCAGGACTAAATGCATTTATAAATTCATACTTCATTACACTGTGAATTGTGCAAATGTCACCTCTTCTCGTCTGGTGCGCTTACTTCAGCTAGACGTGTTTACCAGCTCGGTGAATTTATTTGCATTCTTTTCCCTTCGTTGCCATCATCACTTTGTCTTCCTGAAGCACCCCTTCCCTGCATGGGGGCATGCTAGAATAGCTTTGAACATTTCATGTCAGATTTTTGCTTCTGGCTATCAGGCTGGGAAATGAACAATGACTACATATGTTGCATGTTCACAGGTTTCTCCATGATATTTATAGATTTTGAAGTTAGAATGTGCAACATTGTCAAAACTATGTTTTGTAAAAGTGTTGGAGATATTGCTTGTAAAATGGCATCAGACTGATATTTTCATACTCAACATAATAGAGAGGTAATATTTTCAAAATTATTATTCTTTTGATGAAAGCACAAGTATTACATGCTGCTTTATAAAACATAACTCTATTACATTTGCTTGTATTACATGGAAATTTAAATTTCATGATAGGTGCCAATTTACCATAAAGAAGATTCATTTACATGAGTGTTACCAACATATTATTATCTTTTTCTCTCTAAAGTGAATAGTGAGTAAAGATTCAATTTGTTGCATAAAAGGGAAAATATAATATGTTTTAAAATTTATAATGGACATAACTATCTATGATAAATAATAAAAAACTACAAGGCAATAACTCCTGAAGAGATTACTACTTTCATTCAATATAAAGACTTTGCATAACATTGTAATGGCATTCTATAGGAATGATACAGGCATCAAATTACATAATTATGAAAATAATTTTATTGATAATAGTGCTATAAAGATTTCCACTTCATTTTTTGCTTTTCTTACTGGTTAGTCTGTTCAAGGGATACACAAAGGATATATTTTTGAACTGTAAATACAGAAACAAAGTGAACAAATGTATGAGAATTTTGCTTTCTGTTTTCTTACCTATGACAAGAATAATTTTTGGCCGAGGTCTAGTAGGATCAAAAACATCATATTCCTCAATTAATTCTGCAGTCTCAGAGAGATCTGTGTCACTTTCTATGGAGAATTGATGGATTGGAGGGAGCCGATCATACCGTCGATAAGGAAAGTTCGAATTTTCAGGCATCACTGCAAAAGAGTAAGAGAACTTTGAAACGGGAAAAATAAATCATGAGAAATCATTTCAGGCACTTAACAATTAGAAGAATAAATTGACAATGTAGAGTAATTATGATTTTTTTAAACTGGATGGAGACTTCCTGGGGGATACGCAGCAGACTTTTTCCTAAAGGGCCAGACAGTAAGTATTTTAGGTATGTGGGCCATCCATCTCTATTGGTAACACTGTCATCTATGACAGCATGAAAACATTCAAATATAAACACATAGGCATGCCTGTTGTTGTTGTAGTTAGATGTCATAGAGTCAAGTATGACTCATAGCGACCCTGTAAACAACAGGGCTGAATCCTGTCCCATTTTTTATCATCCTTATTATCTTTGATACACTTGAGCCCATTGCTGCAGCCTATGTGTCAATCCGCCTCATTGAGGGTCTTCCTTTCTTTCACTGACCACCTTTCCCAGTATGATGACCTTTTCCAAGGACTGGCCCCTCCTAATAACATCATTGAAATATGTGAGATAAAGCTTTATCATTCTTGCTTCCAAGGACCAATATAGATTCATAGACATGCCTATATACCAATAAAGTTTTGCTCACGCACACACAAAATAGGCCTGGGTATTAGTGGGCCATAAACTCAGTTCCCTAGAGGAAACTGTTCAAGTACTGTCAAGTCTTGCATGGACACGCTTGAGGGTTATGCAGTACACATCCTTCACAACCACATACACTAGACATAGAGCCAATGCTTATGCATCATTTATTTAATTCATTAAACAAATGCAGATATACACACACTATGATCCAAGTATTCTAGTGTGGCTCGGTAGAAACACCAGGACAACATGAGGCACATAAAAGAATTATTCTCACAAGACATTTAGAAGGTTGTTGTTAAGTACCACTGAGTTGACAAAGACTAATAGTAAGTAACTCTGTGAACACGGATCTGAACCTTTCACTATCCTGTGCCATTCTCATCATCTCTGACACACTTGGGCACAGTGTTACAGTCACTGAGTCACACCTATTTAATTGAAGATCTTCCTCTACTTCAAAACCCACCCCCCAACTTTCCAAACATAATGTCCTTTCCCAGGACAAACACCTCCTTACAACAAGTCCAAAGTATGTCAGATATAGTTTCACTATATTTGCTTCCAAGGAGCACCCTAGCTGCTCCTTTTCCAAGGCATATTTGTTTGTCATTTTGGTAATCCATGAGACATTCAGAACTCTTCTCCAACACTGCTCAAACATGTCAATTCTTTTACTATCATCCTTAGTCAACATCCAGCTTTCAGGAGTGAAAGTGGAAGACCAGGCTGAATCAGGCGCATCTTAGACTTCAAACTGACATCTGCTCTTCAGCACTTTGTAGAGGTCTCTGATAGCAGACTTTTGTAATGCAATACGTCTTTTGATTTCCTTGACTGCTGGTGCCAAAAATGTAGACTGTGAATCCAAGCAAGATGAAGTTATAGACAATTTCTATCTCTTTTACATCTATCTTGATGTTACCTATTGGCCCAATGGGGATTTTTGCTTTCTGCTGTTAAGGTATAATCCATCTTGAAAGCTACAGTCTTCAATACTATTCAAGTGCTTCAAGTACTCCTCACTTTCAGCAAGCAAGGTTGTGTCATCTGCATAACACAGGTTAAGTCTTCCTCAGATCCTAATGACACATTCTTCTTCATATAGTCCAATTTTTTGGATGATTTTTTCTACATATAGATTGAATAAGTATAAAGAAAGGCTACAACCCTGCAACATATCTTTTCCTGATTTTAAATCACATTGGGCAATCTCTTCCCCTGTGATTTACAGCCTCTGCATGAGGGTCAACTATAAGTTGAATGTGACTCCACCGGCAATGACTGAATGAGGGGGAGAGAGATCAATATATGGAAACACTGGACTATAAGCAAGTAATTCATAGAATTAAGGGAAAGCAAAGTAGTAAAGAATTTCTACATTTTTAATGTTTTCAACAGTGAATTTAACTGTCTTTAACTAAAATTCTAACTCATTGTAGTCTAATCAGAACTGACTCAGAGTTGACCATCTAGTAAGTTTTCAGAGGCTATAAATCATGCAGGAGGATTGTCAGAGCAGCTGGTGGATTTGAACTGCTTGTCTTTATGTTAGTAGTGTAACACCTTACCCACTAAGCTACCAGAATTTTCTTAATTGTCTTTGCCCTCCTTAAGTAAAATACACATATATGAAGAATTAACCGTCTTTTATATCTATGAAAGGCAAGAAATATTCACCATTTTTGCAAAAATTAATATATTGAGGACAAGCCAATGAAAAAATGAGATGTAATCTTATCACATCACAACTTAAAAATTGTCTACATATACAAAATTATATACATGCTTAACTCCAATGCTATATGTACATTAGGTAAGACAGCATATTATTAAATGCTAAAATGGCTGTCTCACATAATGAATACCACAGGAGTTCAATGACTTGATATGTCTGTTGAGACTGGAGTGGTGGGAAATACAAAAGTGGCAAGACTTGAATTTTGAAAGGCAAGCACAGTTGATGAAGTGTGGGAAGTGTATGCCAGTTGGGGAACAGCACAAAGATACCAAGTTATAAACACAAGTGTCATGTTCAAAGGACCAGAGGACAGATCTGGCAAACCAAAATCAGACAGATGGTCTCAATCAGTTGTCAAGTTCATGGCTGCTTCCTTTCTCACTCCATTGTGTCATTATGGCAGGAAACAGAGAAGTACCCAGCGCAAAGGATAGGAGCCCATCTGGCCTTCCATAAGGGAATTGACTAAGGGAATATTGTAGCTTAGCACAGCCTAAAGTTGGCACCTCATTCCGTTGGTGTCAGATCAGTTAGAACTTTCCATTCTTTTCGGGTAGAAGAAATGAGGCCAGTGAATACTAATGGACTCGCGCTTCCATTTGGTTCCATAAAAGGAATGAAGTAGTCTGAAGACAATCACAGATAGTCTTTTTTGTTAAATTTTTATTATTATTATTAATTTCAATGAAAATGTACAGCGACTTTGGATTTCCATTCATTCATTGTTGCAGTTTTCTCGCTGCCCACCACAGAGATTTTAAAAATGCTGGCAAAGACTGCACTGATAATAGTATCCTACTAGCCTGGAAATAGAAACATTTTGCCAAATGGAAGGCAAAAATTTAGGCATTGCTTATTACTCTTACATCCTTCTCATCTATTCCCATGGATATTGCTCTCAAAGCACATTCCAACTGCACATGGTTTTCCTGTGTCCATTAGAAGTCTTCCCCAAACCACAAACGTCCTTTTCTAGAACTACTGTCATAACTCTTTACTGGCAAGCCTATTCTATATGCCATTACAATCAACTGCCTAAAATGCTATTCTCCTAATGGTCCTATGGCTACCTACTTCTCATTACTCACCTCGCCTAACTATTACCGCCAATAAGAATATTTTCCTGATTTGTTTATCTAGTGAATCTCTCCATAAACTAAAGAAAATAACTCTAATGCTTTGCACATCAACTACTATTTCACATCTGAGAGTTTTCTCACTTGTCCATTCGTCCATTTATTGTTTGTTTCCTCCAACACAACATACTAATAATCTCCCATTAGAAGTTCCATTATTGACAGGCCCCAGCTCCCAGCTGGAAATAAAGGAGGACACTTCAATGATTTAGATCCTCCCAGAAGAGCTGTGGGTGAGCATTAACATTGCTGGTAAGTATATTTGTTTTCTCCTGGACA